TGTCACTGAAAACAAAAATAATATATATTAAAAGATGCTCAACAAATAGTTGATAACATTAAATATTCTTCCGTAGTCTCCCACGATGAATTCTAGAAGAAAAAAGGATAGGAAAAAAATTATGTTTTATTCATACAAATATATCACAATAATGTTACAGATAAAATGAAAATAATAATTACATGAAGCAACATAATATGAAACTTTTACACATACTGCAATTGCCTTTTGTAACTTTCTTTTAACTTTTATTATTATTGAAAGTTAAGAATTAGAGTTATTATAAAATTTATATATTACATATATATTTTTTAAGATCAATTGGCATTTACAGTACGTTTGACAAAAATATTTTGATTTATAATATACGTTATATACGTATTATAAGTATAACAGATATATTAAGTAAAATAAGTGACACGAGTGATAAACACAATTTACACATCTTCGTTATTTGTATTCATACACGCACCAGCATTATAACATTGATTTATATAGGTATGTTTCACATTGATAAAATCTTCTTTTGTTCATTCTTGACTATAAATGGACCTATGTACGATGAATCGACGAACAGTACACTTTTGAAGAATAATTTAAATAATTCGATTATAGAAGCTGAAATATCTGAAATTGCCCGAAAGTGTGCTCCTCGAGTCCATTTAAAATCCAGTGCATCTCTATGGTGTTTATATCGTTGCTACAAAATTTGCTGCTAACATTGCGATGTAGACAAAACACTTCGCGGAGATAAAAAAAATTCTTCCGCGCATAAATTATTAAAACGATTCATTTTCACAATCATTTGATACATATTATTTTTATTATATAATAATTTAAGAAAAAAGAAAGCAAGAAATGTTTAAAGCATAGTTATTCTTTTGCGTACATAAATTGACTTCATAAGTCAATATGTTAATGCAGACAAATTTTTGAGCAAACCATAGCTGTAGATCTCTTCAATACATACCGGACACCACAGTGTCTGTGCACAAGCTACGGAATTGTATTCTATTAGTAATTATCCACTGAAATGAACCATACCTTTAATAGGTGTTCTTTTCGTTGGTAGTCCAGGATAATAGGGCACTTCCTTTTCCGTTCCTTCTCCATTGCGCTCATGCCAGGGCATATCAACTATCTTGCGTTCCTGTTGCAGGGAATGAAATATTAATTATAATGTTTCGTATAATACTATACAAATATTCGGTGGTACTTTTTAATGAGACATTATTATGGTACATTAATCAGACTATGTACCAAGTACCTGCAGGTCGATTGTTACTGTAATATATCATCCTTATATAAATATAGTTCAAATTAGAAATACATAGTCTTAACCGAATCCGTTTGTTCTCTCACAATGTAAATCAATTATCAGTTAGATTTTTCTGCATCCTGTTCTAATGATTATAAAAGTTATTTGTAAAAACGATTTTCAATTAAAAATTTCTACATTGAATTATTGAAAGTGCCTATACCAAAGCTGAGTTTTACTAAGACTCTATTATTAGAATAATAAGCAACTTACTAAGCAAGCTTCTTTGTGCTCATTGCTATGCAGATGATTCAAATATTCCTTTGCCGTTTTAGGAAATATATCGCAGACTTTACACCAATGCATTTCTGGATCATAATGTACGAAATTGTACATAGGTTTAGAATCTTCAGGAGACCTTCGTTCTTTCGAATCTCTTTCAATTTTGGATTCCTTGTCAGAGTCAGATACCGATGATCTGTCGGGTGATTCCGATTTTCCTTTCGGAAAGTCTTCCTTGGGACTTCTTGAACGTTTGTTAATTTCTAATTTAAACTTGCTTCTCAAATCATCAACAGTAGCTTTGTCTCCTATAATTCCGGTAAGCATATCGATTACGTTATGTATCGATTTCATTTTATTTTGTATTTCAATCTGTAAATTAACAATTACAAAATAAAAAATTATTAAAATATATCATTATTTATTTCGTATAAATTATTATATACCTGCAACTTTTGATTTTCTTTTATAATACGATTATTCTCTCGTCCACCTTCTTTACCAATTTCATCGCACTGTTGTCGCAGAATCTCCAGTTCACGCTGTAACGTAGTAGATTTCTTAACATATTCTTCTCGTTGTTTAGCCAAAGTTGCTTTTTGTTGCTTTACTTCGGCTGCGATCGCTGCTGGGCATAGAATGTAAAAATATGTTAAAATAATATCGATTAATAAATTTTTGCGGAAATAAAATAAGAGATTCACCTTCCTTCTTGGCATCTTCTGGTCTTGCCAAGGATGATACTAATCCAGAAGTACCACTATCCATTGGTCTTGACGATTCTTGTTGGGATGTTAGTGTGGGAGGAGGTGGTGGCTGTTGATTGTTATAAGGTACCTGATTCCCTTGCCAATTTGGTGGTGGATAATCCTAACAAAATAAATATACATTTGATATAAAATATTCAAACAATATTTTTATCAAACCTTACCTTTATTTGTCCATACTCAAATCAGAACTTTGGATAATACACGGAAGATTCTTGAAGATGAATCATCTGGTCAATAATACTGGTTTCCAATGTCGATGCCAATAAAATAAACAACGCGAACGTTATACTTACGAGGGGATTCACAATATTTCGCGATTCAAAAGAACATAATGTTCATCCCCCAAAAAATGAACAATACTACCAAATATTATTCAAAACACTTTGGTAGTGTACGTAATAATTTCATAATTACTCTTATAAGTTTATACAATGCAATTAAACCTATGAATAGGTAATCAATCCAAAAGTGATAATATTTAATTGTATTGCTTTAACTGCAATACAATTTTAATTGTCACAATATAAGCTGATCATTCTCATACAACATACTCCTTGCAATTAATATATTATTTTTTGAAAAACTTACACTGCGATAACCAGTGGGTTGCTGATAACTGTAGTCATAGCCTTGTCCATAGTTATAGTTGTAGTTATTATATCCTTGGTTGTAAGCAGGCAAAGGTGGTGGAGGTTGACTGGTGTTCGGAGGTGGAGGTGCCTAAAAAATAATACATATCATTTATATAATGATTTATTTATTTATTTTTTCTTGGTTTATTTGATTTACCTGATATTGATTATGAACTGCTGGAACATAACCACCAGTATTAGCTGGATTAGGAGTAGAAGCTTGAGACTGAGATGTAGTTTGCTGTTTCCAATCTTGCTGTGAACGACTAGAATCTTTTCTTCTTCTATCTCTAGAACTAGAACGAGATCTTCTATCTCTGGATCGAGATCTACGATATCTACTTCTTCTTGGAGATGGAGATCGATCATACTTTCTTGATCTTCTTCTATGAGATGAATCTTCTGAGTCTGCACTAGGACTTCTTGGTCCTTTACGTCTTGATTCTTGTTCCATTTTTCAATCTCAATTTGTAAAAAAATATATTAATCAATATTATCAGGTTATGTTATAATAAAAAATTTTTATTCAGCGATAAGTAATAAAAAATATATAGATAGTATAATCGTATGATATAATTTTAATGATAATAATAATGTTATTGTTCTATAAATTTCGATGGTTTTATATTCATGATAAAATTCAACGATTCTAACCACTATATGTATTAGCAATGAGAAGAAATTTTAAATGTCGCATTGCAGCCATTATTATCCCATCGATAAAACATAGTCGATATTTTTTGACATATTAAACATTATGAAAAATATTTACCTTTCTTAATGATTGCTTTATAATTTTAGTACTCTGTTCTTGATAGGTACTGGTGTAAGATAACGAAAATAGAATATACTCCAATTCTTTTGAGAATCATTCATACGACACAACGTAGACCAAAAAACGAATGGAAGAAGCCGCTATAACTATAGGTAAAATACATAGAAATAGAAATCTTAGATGGTAAAACTCAAATTGTTACTTATATTCACATAATAAACTATGATGACCAACTTTAAAAAAAATTACTATATTTTAAAAATTAATTTTAGATAGAATATATTTAATATATATGTATAATTAATTCTAATAAAACAATAAATAGAGCAAATTTTTAAAGGACATTAAACATTTTGAATCTCTCTTACATTTTTTTATAAATTTTATCGCAAAATTTCAAAATGATGATTTTACTGTAGTGTTTTAGTTTTAGGGTTTTTTTGTAAATTATATGCTACATTAGATTTTAATTCAATTCGTTTGAAGGAAAAAAGAATTCGATTTCGATTAAAGAATTTCATAATACAATTAATATTTAATTATTTATTAAAAAACAAATATACAAATGCATAAACATGATATTATAACGTGATATGAAAAATCGTGATATTGTTTTTAAATCATATTAATAATATTTTCTTTTTCATTTATTAATCATTTTATGAATATTAAATTTAAATTAAATTAAATTTTAATTTTTGCCTATTTTAAGATAATCAATTATCTAGTATTATAATTTAATTATAAAATTAATTTAAATTTGAGTTAAAAAAACTTTAAATTTTAAATGATACATTTTCATTATTCAATTGAAAGATAATTAAATTTGGCGCGTTTTTATTTCTATCGTTATTTGAATTGGATAAAAATTCATATAATGATATATAATTTGCAAAAATCCCTAAAAATTTTATATATAAATAATTTTTGAATTATTAAATTCTAAAAATTAATTTAAATCATTTTCGCATCAAAGTTTATAAAAACTCAACACGTTTTTTTAAAATTTAACTGAAAAATATTGTAAATTATATTTGTTTGACAAATCTTATAATTTTATATTTATTTTGAAACATTTAATTTGAAATCAGCTTCGTGTCATTTTTGATAAATAAATAAATATTTGCGAGAAAAATTCTTCGATATTTTCGAAATTTTTCTCGTTCTTTTGTCATCTTCATGACTCATTATTGGTATCAATACATTATCTATGCTATTTATATTATATTTAATAATTGTAGTAATTCCCTAGCGAATCATTATTAATCGACTTTCTTTTCATTCATTAGATTTCGGTTGAAATTTTTCAAATTCTATGGTTTAATACTGAGTATTGGTGATGAATATTGGAATATTCTATGATATTGACTTCAAATTATTGGTGAAATATATTTATTTTTTTTAAGTAAGATTATTAACAAAAAATATGAAGAAACGTATCGATGGCCGTCGATTGGCACAAAATATTGGAGAACAAGTAATTTTACTTGGAACTATAGGAAAAGTAAGATTTGTTTTAATATTAATAAAAGAAAATATATAAATATGATTATAATATTCTAATAGCAATAATTTATTTATTTATACATTTGCTTTATTAAAATTAATTATATTAATTTATTACATCTTATTGCATCCTTTTATCATTAGAAAAGTTCAAATGGTAGAAATTTAGAATTAAGAACAACTGATGGTATACAAGTAAATGTAACTTTACCAGAACCAATTGATGGCAATGCAGAAGGTTATATAGAAGTACATGGTACTTTACAATCTAAATCTACAATGAATTGTAGTAATTATATAGTGTTTCCTCTTAGTTTAACTGAAGAATTTGGTAAATATATTATCTTAATATTATATCATAAATAGAATATTCATAAATATTCACATATATATTCATATATACATTCATATTCATATATATATGAATATTATATGTGTATATATTATGAACATAGTGAAATATACATATATATATATATATATATATATTACAGATGCTGATCAGTATAATGAATTAATGGTTATATTAAATATAATAGGAGTTGAAAAATTGACAGAATGTGAATGTGAGGAAGAAAATGATGATTTTTAAATCATCATAGAAATGCTTTATAAAGTATTGATAAAAAAATCAATTATTACATCAATTTCTTATAAGAATATTATCATTTTTACATATATTTAAAGTTATAAATTATTTTTTTTAACAAAATGAAATTGTATTTATAAATAGAATAAGAAAAAATTCATTATCCTTTATTTCTAATATTTATGTTTTGTTCCAAGAAATATATAATGTCCTAAAACTTAAATGAATATTGTTAATATTTATAATTTTTATGATTTCATTTTTTATTTATATTATACGTACTGCTATTTTACACGATGCATCTAAAGAAAAACATCTGCATGTACATGAAGTCACTGGACATTCTGAATGTTGTCTATATAAACAAAGTGAGATATTGTTACAAAAGATAAAATGTATACAAAAAAGTAAAAATATGTACATAATTTTAAAGTATATTACCGAAACCAATGTGTAATATGATCAGCATGACCACCATGTCTACACGTTTGACACCATGTAAACCAATTACTGAATTCTGTCAATTTATTATCACATTCATCACTTCTACTAACTCCAGATGTTGTCATTTGCAATCCACTCACTGTACCCATATGCATTAAACAAATTGCACATCGTGGTAATGGTTTTCTACAATTTGGACATGAAGACATCTATAAACATAAAGAAAATTTTATTTTAATTATTATTTTATAAAATATTCAAATAAAAACATGTAAATTACCTTTAATTTATTGGGTGTACTTCCTAATCTACCAAAAGGTCCTCTTGCTCTACTCAAACCCTGCATGAAAGCTGATATACTTTTACCACAAAAATTACAAGAAACATATATCTGTTGAGGAGGTTTTTCATTTGTTGAAGAACGCATGGCAATATCAAAATGAGCTCTTTGGGTCCACATTTTCCATGCATTTAATAAATTTCTATAACTAAATTTTTAATGTTATCTCCTTTTCACAATTTTTCAGATAAATATTATTTATTATAATACCTAGTAATCCAAACTTGAACTTGATTCTCTTGGAGCAATGTTGGTGTAAATGCTCTTATAGCTATCAAACTACAACTTTGAACATCACCAGTAATTTCTAAATATCGATTTAATAATTGTATACCTTCTAAACTGGCACCTAGATAAAATGTATAATAAGTTTAAAGCTTATATTAACAGATTTATTATAGATTATGTAAATTTGCTATATAAACCTGTTAAAAGAAAACCAGCTAAGTTTCCTTCATCAGTCAATTTTTGAGTTAATTTTTTTAAATATTCACTTAATTTATTATCTGATAAAAACATAAGAGCAAATGCTACTCTATCTTCAACTGCCATACCACTTTCATTCTATAAATATTTTTTTCATTATTTACATAAATAATTTTTATAAGAAAAAATTCATGCTTACTTACTAAAACATTTTCATATGAATCATCTGCTGTTAAAAAAGCAAAAGTTGCTCTCAAATAAGGATCTGAGAGTTGAGATCTACACTTTAAACATGATTCTCTCCACATACTATTTCTATCTTCGGAGAATCCTGATAAAGCCATAGCAACAATATTTAAATTTGTAGACATTGACATTTTAGTAGCTCCTCGATTTAGAATTTCTATTGCTTGCCGTAAACATAAATTAAAAACTGCTATTGCTGCTGCTCTTGGATATGCACCTTCTCTTTCTAATCTTTCTAAAAATAAATTATCATAAAGGCTATTGGTGTCTTTATCAAATCTCCAACCACATAAAAGTAATCCTTTATCTCTGTCTGGAGATCTATAACATAAAACTATATTACAAAACTTTGATACCATGCAACATTAATATTTTATACCTATAAATTTTTGCAGTATGATTAGATCCTATATCCGACCAAGGACGATGAATTAGTTCCGATTTTAAAAAACCATTATTAGATCCTTGTCCATCTAACTTTAAAACTGTTCTATGTAACATTAACAAACATTATTTTGTGAATTTTTAAATATATTATCAAAAAATCTTTAATTTACCTAACACCTGGATGTTTATTATCTGTACATGGTATAGTACCATCTTCTACCAAATAGCGACTTAAGTACAGCCATTGCCATAAATTTTTAAGAGTATCATTTTCTGCTAATTCTCCATTCTGAGCCAGCTCTGGCTGTAAATATATATATTAAAACATATATATTATATAATATAAAATATAAGTTTTTTTCAACTTACAAGTAAACCATATTCTGAAGTAGCACGTGTTTTAGTTAGAATAGAAATATCATTCAGAGCTTTATAAATATTATCATTACTACATATATATTTAAATGATTTGGAAGCATGATTCCAAACAAGATGAGACCGTGTTGACCAATTTACTGTAATTCTTTCACAAACTGTATAATCTGTAAGTCCTTTCAAGAAATAAAACAAGATCAAAAACATTTTATTCAAGAATTTTTATAAATTAATACTATAATATAATCAAACCTTGTTGAGATATTGCCAACAATCTATTCACATGTGTTGGATGCCACGAAAAACTTACAGGACTATGCCAAGGTGGCGCAACTGTTCTTTCCAATGCTCCAGGTTCTGTATCTTCTCCTCCTCCAATTCCACAGTGTTGAATGTCATATAAATGTAGTGTCACTTTATTATAATATAAGAAATTATATTAATTATATTAATTAAAAAATTATAATATTAAATGATAATATTATATTTATTCAATTTATAATTATATTAAAAAGAATTAAAATATTTTACCTGAATCTTTTTGTAAAGCACCTAGAAGATTGTGTCTAGTTGGACACCATAAAACCTTCGTAATTTGTCTACTTTGCGATAATGTTAAAACAGGTTTTTCAAAGCATCTTGTGTCCCAAATTGTTATTTGATTATCAACACTTGAAAGTAAATGATAATTATTGTGTGGATTCACTGATACATTATAAACTGCTTTAGTAGCTGTTGTGTTGATTACTTTTGCAGAATCTAATATTAAATAATTTAATATATATAATGCAAAATAATATAAAAAAATGTAATTACATTATTTTATATTATTTTATATTAATACCTCTAAAATCAATGATTTTTAATTGTTTGTTATTAGTGCCAACTACCATACATTTTTGTTCATTTTTAAACCAAGCAATGGAATGTACAGTTTCAGAAACACCAACTTCTGTTATAGGTCTCACTGAATCTGTCTGTACTGTATTATGATGATGTATTCTTTCAGAAGTATGTAAACCCTTGTTTATATCCCATAATAAAATGGAATGATCTTTACTATGTTTATCTAAACCAGACACAATCAAATTTGTATCTATTGGATTCCAAGCAACTGCGTTACACTGTCTGGCATGTTTTGGAACTATAATTACATAGTTCTTAAATAAAATAAAATATAAATTTAATTATTTATTGAAATAATATACCTAGTTCTTTTCCACTGAGACCTTGAGAATCAAAGATTGTTGGAGCAAAAGTAGTTAAAACAACTTTTCCATTTGCTTGACCAACAGCTAATAGTATATCAGGTTCCAATTGTGGATATATATCAATACATTTAACATAATGATGATTGGTATTCGTTGCAAGTAAATGAGCAACTGTAGAATCAGAAATCTTATCTACAAAAAAATACAAAATTTAATTAATTTTATTAAATATAAATATATTTTATAAACAATATTTACTTACATAATTGTCTATTATTTTCTTTTATTTGCATAACTTCATATAAACAAATTTCTGTACCCCATGTAATAAATTTATTAGCATGAACTGGAGACCACTGTACATCGAGTTTAATACTACTCATTTTAGTAGTATTTTTATGAAATTTTGTTAACAAAAGTAAAATGCATTACTTTAATCTTTCTAAAATAACAATAGAAAAAATAATTTGTTATGAGACTATGTATATAATCTTGCTTTATAATCTTAAAAAATGTTTCTTAACCTCGAACATATTTTCTTTGTATTAAATGTTTCAATTTAAATCTGACACTTTTATATTCATTTCTTTAACCATTTTGATTAATAGTAACTTACATTTCAGATAAATAATGATAATAATAAATTATAGAGATAACAAAAGTTTCTATACGTTTCAATTTTTCATTGGATACTTGAAAATGTTGTCCAATTTTCGCTTTATATAATATATATATGGGTATCTAAAAAAATATAAATTATCATTACTATCATAAATATAACATTTTTTTAAAAAATTTATTTTATTTTAAAAATTTTTCTACATTAAAGATAAGATTATTAAATTAATAAAAAAATATTAAAAAATTAATAAAATAATTCAAAAGTCAAAATTATTTTTGATACATTATTATTTTCATATTTATTCAATTTTGTGCAAACAAATTAATATATATGTATAAGATTGTACCCACATTACATTTACATATATTGTGTATATAGTTCGGCTAATTTACCAATTAATAATACATTTTCATACATTTCATACATTTTAAAATGTACATTTAAAATGTACGATATAAAAATCATATACAATAATTTTTCTAATTTTTACAAAATATTTTATTAAAAACTATAAATATAATTAAATTATAAACATAATGTTGCATAATAATTATATAAAGAATGATTTAATGTATGATAGCATAATGACTTTATATATGTATACATATATATATATATATGACTTTATATATGTATACATATATATATATATAATATATATATATATTATATATATAT